ATTTTCATGCATACGCAGTCGCTCTTGATGAGAGCACAGTTGTCACTGACCCTGCACAGCTCGCAATGTATGTCCGTGGCGTTGACGACAATTTTGAAGTGATGGAGGAGTTACTCACAGTGATTCCAATGCACGGCCAGACCACCGCTCAGGAGATATTCCGCCAGCTGTGTGATGCCATTGCAGATGCCAGCTTACTATGGAAGAGTTTTGCTGGAATAATCACCGACGGAGCGCCATCAATGACAGGGAGGAGAAATGGAGTCGTGGCACTTGTTCAAAGAAAATTGGGAGAAGAGGCCGTTGCTCTGCGCTGCATTATCCATCAGCAGGCCCTTTGCAGCAAGTGCCTGAAGTTTGACAGTGTGATGCCTGACGTTGTGAAATGCATCAACCATATCAGACCCAGGGGCTTAAGCACCGGCAGTTCCGCACCTTTTTAGAGGAAACAGAGTCAGCATATGAGGATGTGCTCTGCTACACCGAGGTGCGTTGGCTTAGCAGGGGAAACGTCTTGAAGAGGTTTTTCGAGTTGAGAGCAGAGGTGAAAACCTTCATGGAGAAAGACGGGATGGCTGTTCCTGTACTAAGTGATCCCAAATGGCTCATAGACTTAGCTTTTCTTGTTGACATCACACAGGCGCTGAATGTACCGAACAAGAAATTACAAGGCCCCGGGCAGCTTGTCCGTGCTGCCTTTGACAATGTCAGAGCATTCTCCACAAAACTTGTGTTATGGAAAGCCCAGCTTTCTCAGACAAACCTCTGCCATTTCCCGGCATGCAAGGCACTCATGGATTCTGGCACACCATTCAGCGGTGAGAAGTATGCTGATGCCACTGTAAAGCTACAGGAAGATTCTGCTCACAGGTTTGCAGATTTCAAGCCACACAGAGCCACTTTTCAAATTTTTGCTGACCCCTTCTCCTTCCACGTGGAAGATGCCCCTCCGTGCTTCAAGTGGAGCTAATTGACCTGCAGTGCAATTCTGAACGCAAAGCCAAGTTCAGGGAGGCGAGTGGAAAAGCAGACAAGCTTGGACAATTTTTGAGAGAATTGCCCCTTACCTTCCCTGAGCTTCCCAGGATGTTCAAGGACCATGTGCCTTTTTGGGAGCGCCTATCTGTGTGAAAAGCTCTTCTCCACCATGAACTTTAATAAGTCAAAGTTCAGGTCCAAACTTACTGATGAGCATCTTCAGGCCACACTGAAGGTCTCAGTTGCTTCCTCCCTCAAGCCAAATGTGGCTCAGCTGTGTAAGAGGAAGCGCTGTCAGGTCTCTGTCAGGAGTAGGAGGAAGTAAGAGAAGCCTATGTTCTGAAGAACCATTGATGTTCTGAATTATTATTAGTAAAGATTGAGAAGACTGGATCAGTTGTACGATTTTTGGAATACTTGAAATCCGTTTTTTGTGGAATACTTGATGCCTCACCCAGACTCTCCTTCCAGCGGCCCCCAGGTAAGTTGAGTTTGAGACCCCTGACTAAAGGAAAGTTGCTGGGAGTCCTTCCGCTCAGTACCAGCCGCATCTCTCCAGTGAGCATATTTTATTTCTAGCTGATTGAGGAAAAGGAATAACTCAACAGCACTAAAGGGCCCAAAGGCAGAAGTTGTCCTGAACTGTATCTCAGCAATTAAGGGCCCTCCCTTAGTGCAGAAGGAGGGATCTGTGGCTCTTCACATGTTGTTGTTGAACAGCTCCCATCAGCCCCGACCAGCTAGGGATCGAGCCCGGCACCTTCTGCATGCAAAGGCAGGGCTTACCACTGAGCTGGGTAATCCCAGATACCACATAAGTTTCCAGTCCTCATGTACTGAATAACAAATTGAAGTACAAACTGAGGAAGCTGCCTGATGCCCCTTGGATCATTTGTTTAAAAAGCAACTATAATTTAAACTGATCAGTTAAGAATTAAAATAATGCTTCTGTTTTGGAGGGGAAAACTTCACTGTTAATGTTCAGGGAGTCATTTAACCCTTTTTAACAGAACTTTCGTCATCACAGGCTTTTTTCTAGAAAATCCAAAGAACAAAACAAAATCCCCTTTTTTTGAAAAAGCGTATTTGTTGTTGCAGATCATCTTTTGAACCCTCCATTGCAGCCTGAACCTCAGATAAGCAAATACCATACAGATGATGTGTAATTCTCAGGAACACCCACAACTACCTGGTACCTTTTGATTCCTCCTGAAACTATTCAGATTTTTCTTACAAGAACTTCTTTGGAACGGGAGTCACTGTGTGGGGGTTTTTCCCCCCTCCTCCCTCCCAGCCTGTTTTCCTTTTGTGCGGTGCCTTTTCAGCAGTCACATTTTGTTTTGGTTTCGCGTTTGGCTGAAGAGCGAGGGGGAAGCAGTCGTGACACATACGCCACCATTGCTGCCTTTCCTCCGTGATTCGGAGCTCTTCTGTTGTCGCCGATCACTCTTTCCTCCTCCTCCAAAAGGCACTCTAATCGTCGACGAGGCTACGACTGGGAAGAAGCAACAGCTGCTTGTCTTCCACAGCCGTCACATTTCCCTCCGCGAGGGCTCCTCTGCAGTGCTGGTGCCAAGTGGGCTCATGAGCGTCTCCTCACAAGAGAGCCCTGGGCACTTTAAGCCAGCCTTTCCCCAGGCTCGGTCCTGCCAGGTGTGCTGGCGTTGCCTCCCATCAATTTCCTCTGGGGACGGAGGCAGGTGTGGTTCTGAGATTAATCACAGATGCGGTGTGATGGCATGCCTGGCTGCTCCTAACAGCACTGCAATTCAGTTGCTTTGCCTTTTCAGATCCTGCAACGTGGCTTCCGGGACCCAAGCAGGAATACAGCGGCTGTTCTCAAAAGGTGAGGACCAAAACATCCACGAAGGGGGCGGCAGGGTGGCGGGGGAGAGACAGGGCTTTCCCGGCTGCGCATCCAGCCCAGGAGAACTGACTTGCACACTTGACATCCCTGCCCAGGGGGACGGCAGAGGGGAGCAATGCTCAAAATTTAAATGGCAAAAGTCGAGGTGGATGGAAGGCCAGAGTGTGTAGAGGTCCTCAAGAATGATACGGGGGAAAAAAAAATCAGGCCGGGCTGATAAAATCCGTCAAGAGCCTAATGGAGTTTGAGTGTGTACAGTCTTTTATACACACTCAAATCTAGAGCAGTCTTTTAGTGGGGCGGGGGGATTTGGAAATGGAGCCATGTAATGGAACACTTTAAGAAAGGGCTCGGTTGAGTGGCTGGCACCTGAAACAAGAACAGGCCACATTGCATTGTTTGTTGTAGATCCGGCTCTCGAAAAGGGAGACAGCCGGAGTATTTCTGACACGACACTTCCATTGTTTCCTAACATACTGATTTACAGAAGGCAGGAGACCAAACTTTGCACTGCCTTTTTCTGACGTAAAACTGATTCCAGGAAAGAGAGCAAGCTGCAGTGAGCAGGACAGGCTGGGGCAGCACCTTCTTGGACGTAACAGGAAGGTCTCCTGCAAAAGGGCTGGGGCTCCTCTCAGCTAGTGCCCTCCCCTCCAGCCCACTGCCTCAAAATGCAGTGCCTACCCTGGAAAGTCTCGAACTCCCCCCCCCCCCCAGCTGTCCTCCATCGGAGGCAGCAATACCTTTCACACTCACAGACCAGAGAGAGCCAGCACATGGCTGCCGTGGGGCCCTGTCGGGTAATGTAGGGCCTCTGTGTCTCTCTGATAGAACCTCTGTGTTTATAAGCAGTCTACCTGCAGTTATGGTCTTCGCATCACCCCTGAGTTTAGGGGTGGTATTAGGTACAGAAAAAGGGCCAAGTCTCAGAACCCCAGGACAAAAAAAAGTCACAAATCTGCATATGTAGCTCAATGTGGATAATTGGCAATAACTGCTGTAATTTAGATCATATAGAGGCAAGCTCACCCTTTCCCTGCTGTCGGGGGGACAGGACAGTGTCTCAAATCCTGCTTGCCGAAAGCACCCCGAATGTGCCCAGCCTTTTCCTTGGTCTTTCAAGCCCAGATTTGGATAGTAAGGATGGAATCCCAAGTTAATTATTTTAGCATCAAGTACTGGCGCTAAGGAGTGTTTAACTGTTTCATTCTTGAATTGTTTTTTATTTAATTTTGGAATTTTTAATGAATGGCAGTATAGAGATTTTTAAAGCAAATAATTTCATTGGAATATGAAATTATGGCACCCCGTTATTCTGACATGACTTCCACACCCTTCTGCGTGGAAAGAGTGCGGTCGATCGGGGTGCAGTTCTGTGAGCGGCCAAGTCACGCAGCGAGCTCCGCGGCTGAGTGGCGCCCGGAGCCCGGACCTCCTCAGTCGGGACAAGCGCGGGAAGGGGCTGTTTGGGCAGCCCCTCCTCAGTTCAGAGCGGCAGTCCAGCCACGGGGTCGCGCTGGCGGGAGTTGGCAGCCCGAGGCGTCGGGGGGCACCGGACAGAAGGGAGGCTTGTGATCGCGGCGAAGCGAGGCTGGCATGCCTCCCATCCATTAATTAGTCAATCCGGCACATCAAAGCCAGAAGAGCTTCAGCTACGGGGGGGGGGGGGGGGGGGGGAGCCTGCATGAGCCAAGCAAAAGCGAAGCGAAGACTCGAGCACCGCCGGGACCATCGGCCGGGCGGTTTCCGCTGCTGCTCGGAGCCCCACGCGGCCGCCACATCCACCGGTCTCTGAGCCGACCCTCACGCACCGCGTGTGCGACAGGCGCGGGCAAGCGGACCCGGCAGGTTCGTCTGTGCTCACTCCCACAACAGCCTTGCGAGGCAGGCTTCCGCCGGCGAGGTCGACAACTATGTTTCGCTACTGACCAGAGGCTGCGCTTGGTTCCTCCCGAAATGGCGTGCCCGGCTGGCCGGCCAGCAGGTGCTTTCCGTACCTGGGGCACAGAGGAGGGCCGTCCCTCCCTGGCCCAAGGGCAGCGTTTCTTCCCTGGCCAGCACCCTCTGCCACCAGACCCATCTCCCCCAGCCCAGCACCCTCTCAGCATTTGGGGGCACAACCTCGACGGGCGGGCGGGCGAGCCAAGCTGCGTACCTGAGCGGGATGCGGATGGCCACGTACCGGTCCACGGCCACGGCCAGCAGGCTGAAGATGGAGCTCTGGGTGAGGACCAGGACGAAGCAGGCCAGGAAGAGGCACCAGTGGAAGTCCGTCTTGAGCCCCACGCTGATGGTGACGGCGAAGGGGATGGCCAGCAGCCCCACGGCCACGTCGGCCACGGCCAGCGAGACCAGGAAGTAGTTGGTGGCCGTCTTGAGCGTGCTGTTGCTGCCCACGGCCGCGCACACCAGCACGTTGCCCAGGATGGACAGCACGGCGATCAGCAGCTCCAGCGCGATGTACACCGCGTCCATGCTGCGCGGCGCCGGGCAGCGCGGCCGTCATGCCGGGCCCATGCGGGCGCGGGCAAGGGCGCGGGGCGCGGGCCCCTTCCC